TGGCGGCCGGGACCGTTGGGGGCGGGGTGTGTGGCCTTATGACACATTTCCGGTGATGTCAGGGGGTGTGGCCTTATGACACACTTCCGGTGATATCAGGGTGTGTGGCATATGCTAATGAGTTATGCTAATGAGTTCCCCTAGCTCTTTTTCTACGAAATGACCCCTGTCTACAATTTAGTTTTTGTTTTGTTTTTTTAAATGGTAATCCTGATGATTATTTGATGTGGCATATGTCTCACCTATGTCCGCACAATACTTTCCAGTGGGAAAGATACAATGAAAAATGTACGTATACTTTGGGGGGGGAGGGGGACCGAGATGCATTTGTATGTATCGGCTAAAAAGACACAATGACTGTATTCAAATGTTACAGAGGTATACACGCCTAGTGATAGGAGTAGTAGTTAGGGTTGCCAACCTCCAGGTGGCACCTGGAGGTCTCTCATTATTGAAGTTGATCTCCGGACGACCTAGATCAGTTCCCCTGGAGGAAATGGATGCTTTGGAGGGTGGACTCTGTGGCATCATACCCTGCTGAAATTCCGCCCCATCCCAAACCCCACCCTCCCCAGGCTCCACCCCACAAATCTCTAGATATTTCCCAACCCAGAGCTGGCAACCGTAGGAGTAGTCTGTGCTGGATGTCAATCAAGAAAACTACTAGCAACGTAAGAACATCAAACAGCATGCTTGGAATAATCTATGTGGTGGGAGCCATAGATCAGTGGAATGGGTAACTGCAAAGGCTCAGTACCATTAAGGAGCCCACCTGCCAAAGACAAGCACTGCTATCAATGTTAAAACAAATCAGGGTTGTCTTCTGACTTAAACCCTTACCTTTCGCTTCCATAAACACTTCCGGTGGTTCCAGACCCACTGTAATCTTGTTCTTGGTTGTTGACAGTATAGTTGGACTCATAGAAGTCTATATCAAATTGCTCTGACATTCTGAGGAGAAGGAAATGTTCTTAAGTAACGATGAAGTATTTAATGTGGAAAATGTTTTGTCCACATGTCTTTTGGAGGGGAAGTCAGAAATCCCAGAGCTATGCAAACTAACAACGCAGCCCTTTGATATAAAGTATACAGAGATGTTAGATTGTACATTGTCACTCCACCTATGAAGTAGGGAGCCTGTTTCTGACAGAAGGAGCCCTCCTCTGTGGCAAGAGGCTCTTATGCTAGAATGGGATCCAACCTGTTATCTCCTGGCACAACGAAGTTTATTCAGGAGGTGCTGCAGGCAGGGCTAAATCACACCGTGTGGACCTGGGGAGCTCAAACCATTCAGAAATGGTGATACAGCAACAATATCTCGATGTTTAAAATTTGGTGGGGGGGGTTTTCCCTTGCCGAATTTGAAAAGTAGAGTATGATTGACCCTTTACAGAAACCATCGTTGATTTTTACCTCTGAACCACAAATCTTAAACTAATTCCAGGGTGGGGGGAAGGCAACCAGCCTCTGATTCAGGACAAGTCAGTCCAAAGGGACAATAAGTGTAAACACTCAGGGTAATATTGATAGGAGCACAGAAGAGCTTGGGAGTGAAAGCAGGATGACGAACAAGGGCCATGAGCGAAGACAAAAGGGCTGAGAGAGGCGAGGGTTGTTGGAGAAGGAAACACATTATATTTGTCTATATGTCAGTGCTAGAATCCACCGAGCCAGCATAGGGGAGCTGGAGTGCTTGGAGCTGAATGCCAATTCCAGGGGTCATTTCGTAGAAAAACAGCTAGGGGGACTCATTAGCATAACTCATTAGCATATGCCACACCCCCTGACATCACCGGAAGTGTGTCATAAGGCCACACCAGGCAGGGGTGGGGAGAGGCAGGGAGGAAGCAACTTACCCTCCCTCTTCTCCTGCCTCCTCCTGGCTGAATGAGGGCCGGAAGCGGGGCAGCCGGAAGTGGGGGGCGGGGCTTCATCATGTGCCCCGCCCCCTGCACCTCACCCGGGGGAACTGCGATCCCCCCCCCCAAATGACCTCTGGCCAATTCAGATATAGTGGGTATTTCAGAAAAATGATGGGATGGGGAAAATCGAAGGGATATGGTCATCCATGGGTACAAGCTCTATAGGCAGGGTGGGATGTGTTGTTGTTTTATTGTACGTCAAAGAGAGCATAGGATCAAATAAGTTAGAAAACATTAGGGGAATGAACCTCTTCAACAGATATGGGTGGATGGGGATCAATGGGTTAGTGACTCTTCAGTTTAGAAAATATACGCCGAAAGGAGAAATGAGAGAGGTTTATGGAATTACAGGGTGGAGAGATCTGAAAAAACAACAACTTTTTCTTCCTCTCCCAAAACACAAGAACTTGAGGGCATCCAATGAAGCTGATGGGCAATAGATTCAGGACACACAAAAGGAAGTACTTCTTTAATCAACAAATGATTAAAATGTGGGACTCACTGCCAGACGATACAGTGATGGCCACAGGCACAGATGGACTTAAAAGAAGAAGAAGAAGAAGAGATTGGATTTATACCCCGCCCTTCACTACCCAAAGGTGTCTCAGAACGGCTTACAAACTCCTTTCCCTTCCCCTCCCCACAACAGACACCCTGTGAGGTGGGTGGGGCTGAGAGAGCTCTGAGAGAAACTGCTCTTTTTCAAGGTCAGCTGTGCCAGAGCTTGTGACTGACCCAAGGTCACATCAGCAGAATTTGACAGATTTGACAGAGGATTTGACAGATTCATAGAGGACAGGTCTATCAGTGGCTACTAGCCATGGTGACTAAAGGCAACCCCCACATTCAGAGGCAGTTAACCTCTGAATACTAGAGCCAGGAGGCAACATCAGCAAAAAAAACCCCTCAGCCTCTATACCCTGTTATTGGAACTCCAGAGGAACTGGTTGGCCACTGTGTGAGACAGGATGCTGGATTAGATGGACCACTGGTATGACCCAGCAGCACTTTTCTTATGTTCTTACATTATGGTTTTCTCTCTTCCAGGGCTCTTTTTGTAGAAAAAGCCCAGCAGGAACTCATTAGCATAATAGGCCACACCCAACAGCAGAAACTCATTAGCATATTGGGCCACACCCCTGACAGCACAGCTCATTAGCACATTAGGCCGCACCCACATGTTACCAGAAGTGTGGTTATCCAGGCACACCAACCTTTTGCTTGTTATTCTGTTTACCTTGTTTGTTGTCAAAACCCAGGGCCTTTTTTTGTAGCAGGAACTCCTTGCATGTTAGGCCACACACCCCTAATGTAGCCAATCCTAATGAGTTTCTGCTGTTGGGTGTGGCCTATTATGCTAATGAGTTCCTGCTGGGCGTGGTCAACTTGGGAGCCAGCCGGAACTCCGTTCCTGTGCGTTCCTGCCCAAAAATAGCCCTGCTCTCTTCCCTCCTAAGCACAATTCCAAAGATTGACAATAAAGATTTTTTTTGGAATGCCAAACCAAACAAAAAAGTCTTCACCTGTTGGTGGAGGACAACAATAGATGGAGACAGATGAATCTCCTTGGGTGCCAGAACCATGAATGCCCTTCCTCAGTTTCTGCTCATCTAGTGTCAGATGCTGGGGGCGCTGAAGATGATTGGAGTGGTAGAGTAGGTTCATATGGAGGTAGGCACAGTGGTATACCCATGTATGAATGTTATGAGAGAATACAGTGAAGTGGAGGGGGACAGAAGGGAGGATTACCACACAGCACCCCTCAGTTTGGGGTCTACATTTGTACAGGCTGTAGACTTTCCCATTAGCCCTTGAATGCATGAAGCAATAACAAAAAATCATAAGTGGATTTCTTCAACATGCTTTTAAATCAGATAAGTATTTCCTACAGAGATCTTTTTTTTTATCTGCAAACCACATATTTACAAATCTGGAATGACATCCTATAATCAGATTAATTGGTTGTACTCTGTTGCCTTCATGTATCAAAAACAGCATAAAAATCACATCATGTAGCAACTCAGTTTCATTCCAGTGTGCAAATCATACAAGTTTCCAAATTAAGAATAAACATCTGATTTATTTTTAATAAACCCAGTATATTAGGAAACTTTTATTAGAAATGTGACTTTCTCAATGAATTATGCACACATAAAATTACAAACTGAAGCATAATAGTTCTTACAACATTTCTGGTTCATATTTTAAAATTTAATTTTCAGTTCAAATTTAATGCCTTTTGATATTCCTCAGAAGCACAAAACCCCCTCTCAGTTATTACTATTAATTACTGCCATGTGTATCAAATATGCATTTATTACAAGCTAGAAGTTAGAACTTGGGCCCTTCAATAATCTTTTAAATTTAAGGTCTGTACCTCTCAATATTGTAGATGAAAATTCACGATGCAGCTTACGTGAAGAGAAACCAGTCAAGTGTGAGTTAAGCGGGGGCGAGCTTGTACTATATATAAAGTCCTAAATTTGGCCTACCAACAGATGCATGACGGAAAGAGAGTCACTCTGTGTCATGGAAAGTCTTACAAACATGATTTATTTGGTAACAACAATAATAAATGAAGCAGAAAGTAGCCATTTCACAAGGGGGGGGGGGAAACATGCTTTAAAAGTGGATTATTTAAATTTTTAATGTAAAAATTCTCTTGTCCAAGGTCAAAAGATACAAAAGAAGATAAAGTTCCTGAACTGTTAATAACTGCACAAGACATGGAACTTTGGGTGAGAGGGTGAAAATTTCTACCAGTTCTCTTCTCCGGTCACTGAACTGCACTTTACTGTTCCTCTTTGAGTGCGTTCAGATGGGCAGCTAATCCCATCATTATGCCAGTTTGAATTTTATCCCTAATCCATAGCATGACCAGACATCCCCCTGGTGAATCACAGCACGTCTTTGTTGAAGGAGGCGCATGGTGGATTTAAAAAACTTTTTGCGCATGCGCATAGATGTGACAGCACATCCTTGTTGATTCGTGCACGTGTAGAGATTTTTTTTAAATGGCGCTCGTTCGGGATGGTCTGACGTCAGACCACCCCGACGGGAGGATTGTGCGCTGGTGGAACGATCAGATGGATGAAAGTCCACAGTTGTCCCGCGGGTAACCAAAATCCCCAGATTTAAAGTGCTATCTTTTAAGTACGGCTCCGAAGCACGGCAAAACGGAATGCCCACGGAAGAGAGACATTTCTCAGATGTTTGAATCTGGACATTACCTTTAGATACGTGAGGCAATCATGCCTCGCGCTGATATAAAGAGCTGTCTGATTGGACTCACAGTCTACTGACTTACTGGGCCAACACGGGTTATTGGGGGGAGGAGCTCAATGCAGTGAAAGTGGGAAGTGAGCACAAACCAATGTCTGGGGACTTTCAGACTTTTGTCTTACTGTGCTTGAATTCTGGGTTTTATTCAGGGCCCAGAATAATAATAATGCAATTCACTCTTATTGAACTTCTGATTTATCTCTGTGCCGTGTTGAAATACATCATATGCAAACTGCCACAAAGACTCAGAACCTCCTTGGAAAATTAATGTGACCACGTGAGAAGGAAAACACACTTTCAAATGTCATATTACTATGCAGGGGGAGAAAAAGATTCATTAGCAGTAGAACTCCCCTCATCAATAACATTTAGTGCTTGAAAACCCCTTTCTATGTGTGACTTCTTAAAACGATGCCACCTCTATTTTGAAGGTGCAAATGATGTGTACAGCAAAAAGACATACAGGTTACTGCTAAAAAAAAAAAGAGCATCTGAACCAGCTTACTTGTTGAAATATATCCCGGGAACAGCTGGTGGTACCCCCCCCCCCTGCAATTTGCAGACGAAGCCACTATTCAGTGTTTCACTTCCTGCTTGCATGCGGGCAAATGAGGAACTCCTTCCTGTGCAATATCTGAAATATCTGGAAAGCTCTCAGCTACAGTGTGCTGCTTGAAGTGAAATCCTCCCTGGCTTGATAAGCAGATGTTTTTGTTGCTGCACTGGCAGATGGCAGAGCTACCTCCCGGAGATGGCAACAGATCTGCTCATGGTAGTGTGGAGGGGGGAATCATTATCAGCAGATCTTTTTATGATTCTCTTTTGTATACCTACAGAACTGAAATACCACACAAAACCTCTGTGAACAGTACACAAGCCAGACACTTGCTCCTGGATAACTGCTACAAAAAGAAACTGTCTTTGGCTGCAGCCAAACGTCATGATACTTTCCCGTTTATTAAAGTTCAAAAGTGATGTCCTTCTGTGGATGGTCCAACAAACAGCCATATGCTGGTTGACATAAAACTGAGATTTCAAATTAGGGTTTTTAGTTGGTTTGTGAATCACAGGTCATACATACTAATGATGATTTGTTGGCATGTTTGAATTTGTTGTGTTTGTTGAACAGAACCATTCTTTGCAACCACCTGTGTTATGTACTGGGCCTTACAATGACGGACCCAGCTTGGGTACACAGAATAGACTGCTAGGATCCTGGGAGGAACCTATCGACCAGGAACACTTCGGTAAATAACCTACCACGGGTAGTGGATGTGTGTGGGGTGTGGTGTTGGTCACAGATTTAACCAGGGCTTCGGTCTTGCTGGAGTTGTCTTTAGTTTGAGCTGAAATCACAATAAAGCATGAGCTGATCATAATCGCGTGTCGAATCCAGTATATTTCAACAAACAATTAAAAAACAGCTTTCCTTCTATTTCCTCCATGATAAGGAAAAGCCATCATCAGGCAACCAGAAAGAAGTGGGGGGGAAGGGTAATCCCAATAAAAAAACTGGTCTGTTGGCCACTTTGGCAGTATACGGAAGATGTTCCCCCCCTACCAGCGAGGTGTAGTGGTTAAGACTGGCAGCCTCTAGTCTACAGGAAGCCTGCTGGGGTCCCGTTCACACGCGGCGATTTGGTCCGGGAGCGGGACAGTTCGGGGCCGGATCAAACCGGCGCGATCACACCACAACATCTGGGAAGCGTCTTGCTTCCGTGGCCGAACTGTCCCATTCCCAGGAAACGCCGCCGCAAACTGAACCACCTATCTAGGTGGTTTAAAGGGAAGCGGCGCGGCAACCGGGTCGTTTGATCGCCGGCGCTTCCTTGCGCCGGCTCAACCCCGGCCCGGATCCGAACTGCGCATGCCCGGACATGCGCAGTTCGGCCGGCTCCCGTTCGGGCCGTGTTTTCTCCCCGGCGTTTGATCGCGCCGGGGAGAAAAGGCGCCGTGGCCAGGGGATCCATGGGATCCCGCCGCGGCGCCTCAACGTTGGCGCGGCTTTTAAAAGCCGCGCCTTAAGAGGCTTTCCCCCTGCCATGTGGCAGGGGCCTGGGTGACCTTGGGCCAGTCTCAGTTCGCTCAGAACTCTCTCAGCCCCACTTACCTCACAAGGTACCATGTGGGGAGGGGAAGAAGGAATGCCATTGTAAGCTGCTTTGAGACTCCTTAAGGGAGAGAAAAGTGGAGTATAAAAACCTTCTCTTCTTCTGGGAGGAAAAGAGGCAAGGTATAGACAAAAAATGAGATGGATTACTTACGTCTGGTAAGTGAACCAGAATTTGTTGCACGCACCATAGGTTAAACAAATCACCCTTTATCACAGCATCTGAACAAGGCAGCCTTCATTTTTTACATATAAGAATAAATACTTTATAGGTGATGCCTTATATGAGGGAAATATATTCACCCCTACAAAAAGATGCCATAGGGAGCTGGAACCAGTCTGTGGACACCCTGTGGCATGTCGTCATCATAGGCATTTTTTTAAAAATGTGTTTCATGTAGTGCAGGGATCTCCAGCCTTGTTGAGCCTGTGGTCCCTTTTGGAATTTTGTGGGAGCCATCACAAAATGGCTGCCATGGCCAACCACAAAATGGCTGCCGGGGTGTGTGTGCTGGAGCCAATCACAAAATATGGGCAGGCTCCAAACCAAATGTCCTCCTGTGATAGAGACAGCTGTTTCCAAAGCAATGCTCCCAGCAGACATAAAAGTGATGCCTTTTAGGCTCTTCTGAAGAACCTTTTGTCAAAGCGGGTAAAGGACAGTCAGGACTGGTTCTTTGCTTTGAGGGGGAAAAGGAAGAGGGACCAAGAAGACAAGCCAGTGGATCCCATGGCCATCACACTGGGGATCACTGGTATACTGGATTGCTGCTTGCCATACTAGGCTCTTAGCAAGAACAGTTTCAGTTTCCTGTTTCCTGAACTGCTAGCAGCCAGTTCAGTTCAGTTCGGTTCAAGGTCTCCTCCTAGTGGACCTTAGCTGTTACAAGAAAGTTACCTGTTGTTTATGTCCCTTCTGGGCGGCCTCCCTTGATGAAACATGACATTTGATACCACTGAACATTATTTTTAGTGTGCTAATAATAAAACTTTTACAATAGCTACCTACTTTCTCCTTTTGGCTCTCCAGTGCCCATTTTTTAAAAATTCATATGTATTCCATATGGAGGATCACAACAGAAAAATAAGGCAAGGTCGAAAGCCAAGGTGAAGTTGAATATTGAATTGCATTTGAATATTATTTCATTAGCGTACTGGAAATGCCAAGCTACATTTGCAGGATGTCGTGCTTATGCAACCTCCCCTCTGCCCCAGAAATGGGTACCGTGAGTTGTGACTGTGAAATGTGCAAGGTCATCAGCTTTCAATGTGTAGATCCAGTTATAGTTTTATCTGTCGTTCTGGTTGCCCATCAAGTTACTTTGTCAACAAAGAAAGCAAGCCAGGATTGTCCAGAACAGAGCGTAGTAAGAGTCCTAATGTTGTAAGCGAAAATGCAATGGGACCTGTGTTGTACCTTTTACCCCCTTAGAGACCGGCATCAACAAAGCCAAACAGCCATTCTCCTGCAGCTCTTAAAGGTAAAGGTTCCCTTGCTCGAAAGCCAGTCAAATCCGACTCTAGGGTTGCGGTGCTCATCTCCGTTTCAAAGCTGAAGAGCCAGCGCTGTCCGAAGACATTTCCGTGGTCATGTGGCCGGCATGGCTAAACACCAAGGCGCACGGAACGCTGTTACCTTCCCACTGAAGTGGTACCTATTTATCTACTTGCAATTTCTTGCTTTCAAACTGCTAGGTTGGCAGGAGCTGGAACTAGAGACGGGAGCTCACTCCGTCATGCGGCACACTCGGGTCTCGAACTGCTGGACTACCGACCTTCCACAGCCTGCAGTTCAGCGTCTTAACCACCGCAGCTCTTAAGACTAGCCAGTTCATGTTCTTGTTATGTATATGACATTTACATGGAAGCTAACAGATGCTTACTAGACCTGGGAACATATTAGAAATAATAAATTGAGTTGCAAAGGGTTTTCTTTCCCATCAGCAACAGGATTAACAATGATTCCTGGAAAATGTTGTTGCATTATCATGTTTTCATTCTACGCTAATGTGGAAAGAACAGTCCAATTGTTGATTTGA